ACCGCCATGGCCGGTCGCCATAGAGAGACAGAGCAGGGAAACAGAGAGACAGGAGACAGAGAGAGAGAGAGAGACAGGGGGAGAGAGAGAGAGCGTAAAGGGGCAGGGGCCTATCTTTTAAAGGGGTCCTCTGCACCTGTGTGCAGACTTCTTTCCCATGGAACCTTGGGCTGACCAGGGTATTGCCTGAGTGGATTCCACCAGGTAACAGGGGCAGGCCAGCATAATGCCTGAACCTTTCAGTCACCATTGCTGACAGTTTCCTGGTCACATTCTAAGAAGGGCCTGACACAGATTCCATTCCCATTTGAGGCTGATAACTCTATGTTGGCACTGGGGACCATGCTCTGTGCTGTAGAGTGTTGGGCAACATCCTTAGCTTCTAACTTCTACAGTCCAGCACCAACCAAGCAAGAACATCTCTAATCATTGCACATAAAATAATCTTAAACAAAAAAGTCAGGGGAACCAAGGCACCAAGACAAGACATCAAGAGACTTGATGGGTGTGATGGGTGATATCTTGTTTGTACTCTAACAAATAAAGCTTGCCTGAAGATCAGTCACACAAATCCCAGCACTTGGGATCACATTCCTTTAATCCCAGCACTAGAGAGGTGGAGACAGAAGCGATATGGCTGAGCAGGGAGAGGAATGTAAGGTGAGAGGAGACAGGAACTTACCTCTTTTTGGCCTGGAGATTTTGTAAGAACTCTAGTGGCTGGCTGCCCTGCTTCTCTGATCTTTCAACTTTCAGCTCCTAATTTCTGATTCCAGATTTTTATTATTAAGACCAATTAGAACTCATGCTGCATCTGGTGTCCAATTTTTGGGGCATGAATTCATGAAAAAGCAAAGCTGCTTGTCTGTAGCTTTGTGGCCACCAGCGCAGGTCAGAGCTGCACGCAGGGCTCCTGCTGGAGTCACTGCCTTGCCGATTAGATTCTCCTCTCTGGTTCTTGGGCTTCTTTTCTCCCGGTGGGTTGTGGGCTTTCCCTGGAGGAGGTTCTCCAACTGCTGCCAAACTAAGCTGCCGTGGTACCCACTCGGGCTTCTACCGTGGGTTTCACGTCTCACTGTCATCTGAATCATCACCCGCAGATTGGGTGAGACAGTTGGGAATTCTTTATTTATTATGTACACAGTCTTCTGCGTGCAGGCCAGCAGAGGGCACCAGATCTCATTCAAGGTGGCTCTGAGTCACCATGTGGTTGCTGGGAATTGAACTCAGGACCTCTGGAAGAACAGTCAGTGCTCTTAACCTCTGAGCCATCTCTCCAGCCCTGATAGTTGGGAATTCTTAAAGGGAGGAATTAGCTAAAAGAGTTTTTTCCCATATTAAAAAATGGGGAACATGGGGCTGGAGAAATGACTCAGAGGTTAAGAGCACTGTCTGCTCTTTCAGAGGTCCTGAGTTCAATTCCTAGCAACCACATGGCTCACAACTCTCTATAATGAGATCTGGTGCCCTCTTTGGGCCTGAAGACATACATGCAGACAGAGCATTGTATGCATAATAAATAAATAAATCTTTTTTAAAAAATGGGAAACACAGCTGGGTGGTCCTTTAATCCCAGCACTTGGGAGGCAGGGGCAGGCAGATCTCTGTGAGTTCCAGGCCAACCTGGTCCACAGAGCTAGTTCCAGGACAGCCTCCAAAGCCACAGAGAAACCCTGTCTCCAAAAACAAAAACAAAAAAACAAAAACAAAAAAGGAAACACTATTACAATGGAGGGAGTTAGGTCATCTGTATGATAATACAGATATTTTGAAAATGGAACAATTAAATGAGAGGATAACTAATTTAGATGGGATTTATATAATGTTGATTATAAACATCAATTTTATCATTTTTGTTTTATCGCTAAAAAATTGGTTAATATGAGTGCTAGGATACAAGTTTTAGAAAAACGTGTTAAAACAGATCATAGAGATATTCAGGCCCAGACAAAGTAATGGAGAGCCATTAAGGTTAGAGAGGAACAGCCTAAGGTTTTCTAACAGTCCACTATAATTTATCCAGTCACCTTCCAGGAACAACTGCCAAATGATAGATATCCCCAAGGCTGTGCAGGAGCTGAGTGGACTCCTGTGGAATGTTAGATCTAAGGAGATTCAGGAAGTGATAGTCTCATATGGCATGCATCACCTTTTGTGAAGCAGATGTGAAACTCAAGGTCAACTTGTAATAGAATTATCTGGGGAGACTTGGTTACAGCAGTTTTGGAGCCTGGTCCTCAATTACAGTAGAGGACCTGTTAGAAAGATGAAGCTAAGACCATTGAGCAATGAAGTAGGGCTAGAGGTACAGCAGTCTCCAAGACCAGATTCTTGGAGAGGGAGATTATGCCGACGCACAAAGACAGTCTATATATGATGACCACACTTTGGCTCTATGCTGTGCAGCAGCTTTGAATGCTTGGAACAGAACTGAAGAAGTTGGAAAGAGAACTGAGTCATTTACTAATATTATACAGCCCCACCCCACCAAAAAAAAACCTTCACTGATTTCTTATAAAGATTGACTTCAGCCAGGTGTTGGTGTCACACGCCTTTAATCCTAGCACTCTGGAGGCAGAGGCAGGCAATCTCTGTGATTCCCAGCCCAGCCTGGTCTACAAGAGCTAGTTCCAGGACAGGCTCCAAAGCCACAGGGAAACCCTGTCTCAAAAAACCAAAAAGAAAAAAGATTGACTATAGCTGTAAATAGAATGATACCCAACTCAAAACCTAGACAAATAATAATTGAATCTTGGGCTTTTAAAAATGCTAGTGCACAAGGCAAAGGGGTAATTAGGCCTTCAAAGCCAAGATCAGTACCCATAGAGGAGTGGATCCAAGATACAGTCAATATTGAATCTCATAAGAATGATGATGCTTGGATAGGAAAGATGATTCCCAGCGGCTTGAAGAAAAATCAAAATGTCAGCTTTTGTTAATTGTGGTAAATAAGGTCACTTGAAAAGGGATTGTAGGCAGGGTGTTCCTAGAAACAAAGTTTTTTCTAAGAGTAATCCAAACAGAACATCCCTCCCTTCTAGAGTATGCAGAAGGTTTGGCAAACCTGACATTGGACCAATGACTGTAGATCACAAAGGACAGATAAGGTAACCCTTTGCCCTTGGGAAATCCCTTGAGGGGGTCTTCTTACAGGTCCCTGAATCAAATTTGGTTTAGTCATTCCCTGTCACCATGGGAGAAACTCCTTCCCAGAACAATTAAAGAACCTAATGCCTATTGTAAATAACCATACCACTGGATGATAGAGCAGCTATAGAAGATAAGACAAAAAATTCAAGAGAAATGATAAAGCAAATATTATAAAGATTAGATTTGAATAAGAGAGGTCTCTTATTAGAAGAGATGATAGTTCATCAAACAGCATGACCATTCAATCTGAACTAAATTATATGACTAGCAAATGCTTTAGTTTATTCAGGTATAACTTGCCAAAAGGGAACTTCCCCAAAGTTAGGGATAGGGCAGGGTTTTGCTTTTGTCTTTCCAGGAGAATGAAGGCATCCAACTAGGGAATCTGAAGACCACTGAACACATGAGACATCTGAAGAAAAAGGATGAATCATACAGAGAAAATTTCCCAAGAAAAAGAATAAATTGGCCTATTGGTATATCATATCTCCAACAGGATAAAATTTCATAAATCTTCCCAAATGTTTGTTTCTGCTGTTCTCTACAGACACATAATGCAAATGGTTTCTTGTCCTCCCAGTTCAATTAAAAATTAAAGCTGGCTTTGGAGTTGGAGTGTGACTCTCTCCTAATCTAAACCCAAGTATGCTTGTTAAAGGAAAATCCAAAGTCTATCATGTCAGGAGAGCCACCTGATATGGGACAGAAGAAAACACAAAATTAAGGGACTATTTATTCTATTGTTTCTAATCTCATGATTCTTTGGCTTCATTTTGACTCCTTAAAGCTTCTCTTTGCCAGGCAGTAGTTGCACATACCTTTAATCCCAGCACTTGGGAGGCAGAGGCAGGTGGATCTCTGTGAGTTCAAGGCCAGCCTGGTCTAAAAAGCAAGTTTCTGGACAGCTAGGACTGTTACACAGAGAAACCCTGTCTCAAAAAACCAAAGGGAGGAAAAAAACCCTTTTCTTAAGATATAGATATTATTTCAAAATTATATATATATATATTTAAACTTTTCATCATGATATTAATGGTCATATAGAGTACTAGCTAATTCTAGAAAAAGATTTCATCTAGCTTCCTGTACATGATTTCAGGTTTGAGTATCTATCAGGTAACTAGGAATTAAGTTTTTGTACTCTGAATGTACATAACAAATTATGATCCTTTAACCTCTTAGAGATCTGCTGCATATGATAAGTTTTCTGCAATGAACCATGAGTACTCCTAACAATGACCTTTGAAGTTTCCAAAAGGAGGAAGGGGCCCCACAACGACGATTCTACCAGGACTATGATAACACCACTAAGCTGACAAACACCACCCAAAGATCAGCTTTGGACTACAAACTGCTCAGGACAATTTCAAGGTGGCTATCTGAGATGGTCCAGCCTCACAGACTACCTTAGCCTGGACTTGAGGTAAGCCTGCACTTGTCCATTACACAGAGACTGGGCAACAACTGATAGAGTTAGCTCTCCCAGGACTTGATAATTATCCCTATTTTTTCAGGGTCTCCTAAAGATACCATCACCCCCCAGACAATAAGAAGTAATTTTAAGAACACAATGCCCAAATTCCTAAGAAATGGGTTATGGATATTTGTCATTGTTTAGGGAAGGTTGGTTACAAGTTTTATTAGTAATGGTCAGGAAAAAGCTGAACAAAGGATTAGATTCATAGTTTTGGTTTTGAAAAGAAAAAAGGGAGGTATAGAAATAGGATAAAAGGGTAGATTAGTGAATCTACTTTTAAACCAAAAAAGTAACTTCTATTTTTAAATATTTTACATTGGCTTGGATTTTTGTACATTGATATAAACTTAAGGTTATATTTGTTAGAACATACTGTACATACATTTCTACACTTATTCAAGGTGTTGTACCTATACAGCTTACTTAACAATGTAATGTAAATTTCTAGACCTTGAAATTTATTATTATAAACTATTTAGAATAATAAAAGATGCAAGTAGATAGTCACCTGTTACAATTGAACTTTTAGGTATGTTTTCAAGGTCAAACAGACTTATATATATTAAATAGGTAGTGTTCAGAGTTCCACAAATATAGCATTTAAGATGTTTTATTAACATAAGTTTCTTTTTTATGACAATGAGACATGTCTCCTCCTGGAAGCATCTCTACTTCAGAGGAGATGATGGGCATCAAAGAAACTCCACATGGAGTTTACTTTCTTTGTGGCAAAAGTAAACTACTGGGTAAGAAAGCGACTGCCAAACTTTGCCAAGACAAGGCGGGACAGTCCTTCAGAATATCCTGCTTCACAGAAAAGCCTGTCAGATATTCTAGGCCTGTAGATGGACGCCCCAGCATCACCTCGGGTGACTATCCAGGCAGCCAGCTAATTCTGTCATTTCTCACATCTTTTGGAAGTAGCTTGCTTGCATTTCCTGCTTACTCAGATAATATTTCCTGTAACGACAACTCTTTCCACCAGCTACCTGAGTTCCGCCACCACACTAGGGCCCCAAAACAACACACAGAGTCTTATGTTAGTTACAATGCTGCTGGCCAATGACTAGGATTTCTCATTTGCCAGCTCTGTCCTGCCATAACCATTAATCTATATAATTTATAAAGACTTATCTTACCAAGGACGCTGGCGGCATGCGTCCTCTCTTGCCAGGATCACATAGCAACTCGCTCTCCTACTACATTTCCCAGAATCCTCCTCAACTCCTAGTCCCGCCTAACTTGCTCCCCTATTAGCCAACAGTGCTTTATCAACCAATAAGACAAACATACACACAGAAGGCCTTCCCCATCAATTTCCTTCTCAGGTCTCTGAGGGAGTTGAAGACTAGATAGTTACAGTTTTCCTTGTTAACAAGTTCAGAAAAGAAACTCACAAAGAGATATAAAGAGTATAAGGCTGAGAGACATAAAAGGATTGTTTTGAATTGGTAATACAAGTTAGGATAGAAAGTGAATTAGGTACAAGACTTTGGACTCACCAAGATAGGATAGATAATCGAGTATTTTCTCTGAATTTGTCAAATGCAAATGGACTAGACATTGTTCATGTAATTACTGCCTTATAATAATAGCATATCGTTATTGTGCTTATCATATACAGTTTTTCTATGGTAGGGTAACCTTCACTTTTTATTTACACACAAGGGGGAAATGTGTGATTTTTGTTTGTATTCTGACGAATAAAGCTTGCCTGAAGATCACAGCTACGAGTTAACCATAGAGGTCTGGAGGTCTGTACGGAGAGAAGGCAGGAAGTGACAAGGCAGGGCATACACAGGATCTCAGCCCTTTTGTTCTGAGGATTCAGAGAGGTAAGAGGTGACTTGTAACTGCTCTGCTTCTTTGGTCTTTCAGCGTTGACCCCGATATCTGCCTCTAGGTTTTTATTGTTAAGACCAATGAGGATCATGCTCCAGTGGTCATGGTGTCTCTTCACAGCAATAGAAACCCTAAGACAGGAGCTGTCCAGTTCCTTACCGGCAGACACTTGGCTCCCCCAATGGAGATCAACCCAGCTGTGAGGCCCAGCACCATGGCAACCCAAGGAGAAGTAATCAGGAAACATGGGGTGCCCACAGCCACGCCTCCTGCCAGCACTGCATTGTGGAGGTGAACCTGCAAAGAAACACCTTGTGGGTGGGTGAAGTAAGACTCAGGGAGGGTTCGCTCTTGCCCACAGCCTTTCAGCACATTGGCCATGAGCAGCCTCCTGATGGCCTTCCTGGCTCACAGGTCCTGACGCCATCCTTTCCTGTCCATCGGCACCAGGTGACATTCATCCACAGGTTCCTTCAAGCTCAGGGAGTAGCCCTTCTGACTGGGCATCCTGGCCACACCTTACTAACACACCCTTGAGCACTTATAGAGTTTGAGCTGTAATGCCAACACTCATGAGGCTAGGACAGGGCTATCTTGAGGTCTAGGCCAAGGGGTAAGATCCTATCTTTTTTTTTAACTTTAAAAACTTTAACTTTAAAAATAACTTTGCTTTTATATTTCTGAATGAGTGTTTTACTGCATACATGTCTGCAGTTTATGCCTGGTGCCAGTGGAGTCCAGAAGAGGGATCAGATCCTCTGGTAACGTAGTGACAATTGTAACGTAGACAATTGTAAGCCACCATATCAGTGCTTGGAACCAAACCCAGATCCTCTGGTAAAGGAGCCAGTGTTCCTAACTTCTGAGCCATCTCCCCAGCCCCCAAGACCCTGTCTTTATTTTTTAAATTTTATTTTTTGATTGATTTCTTTTTGGTTTTCCAAGCAAGGTTTCTCTGTGTAGCCTTGGCTGTTCTGGAATTCACTCTGTAAACCAGGGTGGCCTCAAACTCAGAGATCCACTTGCCTCTGCCTCTCGAGTGCTGGGATTAAAAGTTGTGGCTCTTAATTTCTTTTTTTTTTTTCTTTTTTTTTCTTTTTTTTCTTCTTTAATTAAGTGTATGTGCTAGGGGAGGGAATTGTGCCTGTGGGTGCAGTGCATGCAGAGACCAGAAGAGGGCACTAGAAGGCCTAGGGCTGGAGTTTTAGGCATTTGTGAGCCACCCAGGTCCTAAGAGCAGTGCATGCTCTTGACCACTGAGCCATCTCTCCAGCCCTAGAAGTTTTCTTTTCATTTATTTAGTGTAGGTGTGAGTGTGAACATGCATTCATCCGAGACAACTTTTGGGCGTCTGTTCTTTCCTCCCACCATACGGGACCTGGGGATCATGTTGGGTGGTCAGGCTTGACAGCAAGCTCAGTTAGCCACCGAGACACCGCCAGGCTTCCTTCTGGAGTTCCTGTAGGCACTGAGTCAGACCTGAGGCCAGGGTCTGGCACAGATCTCAGAAGTCACTGTCACGTGTTCATTAATACAAGCTACTTGCTGCTTAGGCCCCTATATGACCACACTCGGCTCCAATATGCTGTCCCTGGCTCCCGGGTCAGACCTCCACTCTGCCCTCCCTCCCACTAGACCCAGAGAAGCCTGCCTTCTCTGACACCTGCTTCTTTGTCTTCCTAAGCAACTCTACCTTATTTATTCCTAGACTTCCTGTCACCACCAAGTTTACTTTTGTGCACACCAACCTCCCCTAGTGATTAACTTGTGCGGGGAGTCTGTCATCTGTGGCCAGGCTCCCCCAAACCCACCCCACAACACTCTACCCCATCTGTCAGCTCTTTCTGAGCCTGGCTTTTGTCTTTCTCTCACTCATCCTTCTCCACAAAATGTCCCGTTGTTTCAGAACCAGCACTCACTCACATAAGTACTGTTCAAATACTACTTGTCTTTTCTTCCTTTTCTTTTCTTTTAAGCAGAGTCTTATATAACCAAGGATGGCCTCAAACTGGATATATAGGCCAGGCAGTGGTGGCGCAGGCCTTTAATCTCAGCAAAGGCAGTGGGATCTCTGTGAGTTCGAGGTCAAGCTGGTCTACAGAGCAAGTTCCAGGACAGCTAGGGCTATTTCATAGAAAAAAAATCTCTCCGGGCGATGGTGGCACATGCCTTTATCCCAGCACTTGGGAGGCAGGGGCAGGCAGATCTCTGTGAGTTCGAGGCCAGCCTGGTCTCCAGAGCCAGTGCCAGGATAGGCTTCAAAAGCTACACAGAGAGGGCTGGAGAGATGGCTCAGAGGTTAAGAGCACTGACTGCTCTTCCAGAGGTCCTGAGTTCAATTCCCAGCAACCACATGGTGGCTCACAACCATCTGGCTTCAAAAGCTACACAGAGAAACCCTGTGTCCTGGGATCATAGCCAAGCACTAACTACCATGCTCAGTGCTGGGGTTTGAATTCAGGGCCTCAGACATGCTAGGCAAGCACTCAACCAACTGAGCTCTGTCCCCAGCCCCTGAATTCTCTCTCTCTAAAAAGATGTATTTATTTTACGTGTATGAGTGTTTTATCTGCCTGCCTGCATGTATGTGTTCCACATGTGTGCCTGGTGCCCAAGGAGTCAGAAGAAGGTGTTGAATTCCCTGGAATTGCAATTCTGGATGGTTCTGAGCCGACACGTGGGTGCTTGGACCTGAACCTGGATCCTCTGCAAGAACAAATGTTCTTAAGGGCTGGGCCATCTCTGCGGCCTTCTTGCATTGTCTCTTAATTCCCACTGGGCAGAAGCAGCTATCAAGACCCAAAGTACTGATATGGCTTGAAATAACTAGTGGGACTTTAAAAAAACAAAGCAGAAAACTTCTGATTGTGTTCATGGCATTCTTGAAACTTCTTTCTTTTTTTTTTGTTTTTGTTTTTTGTTTTTCTTTTGAGATGGGTTTTTTCTGTGTAGCCCTGATTGTCCTGGAACTCGATTTGTAGATCAGGCTGGCCTCAAACTCACAGAAATCTGCCTGCCTCTGTCTCCTAAAAGCTGGGTTTAGAGGCATGAGCCACCACTGCAAATTTCTGGCAAAATTTCGCTGGGCATTGGTGGTACATGCCTTTAATCCCAGCACTCGGGAGGCAGAGACAGGTGGATCTCTGTGAGTTCAAGGCCAGCCCAGTCTACAGATCAAATTCTAGGACAGGCTCCAAAGCTGCAGAGAAGCCTTGTCTTGAAAAAAAGAAAAAAGAAAAAAATTTCTGGAAAAATTTCTTGAAGGAAGAAGAAAGACTGGCTAATTTTATTCCAGTTTGTTCTGCTGACTCATGCTCATGGTTTGTTGGCTTCAACAACTAGTGGAAACAGGGTCTAGAGTTGGGTCTGTGTGATAGTAACATTGATTTAAACACACACGTGACCATGCAGATACACACACACACACACACACCAGCCCCCAGACAGCCTGTCCAGTCGCCAGTATCCTGATGTATCCTACATGGCAGACAAGGTAGGGCCCATCACAGGAGCGCCCCCACCCCCATCCTAGCTTGGCCCTGTGGGAGAGCTGTAAACATGTGTGTTAGTCACAGACACACATGTTACATCCAGAGCCTGGCCCTGTGGGAGAGCTGTCAACATGTGTGTTAGCACAGACACACATGTTACATCTAGAGCCTGGCCCTGTGGGAGAGCTGTAAACATGTGTGTTAGGTACAGACACACACATGCTGCCCAAGAGGTAGCCTCCTGCTCACCATGTTGATCTTTCCCTGGGGGTGACTCAGGGATGACATGGAGGTGGCTGTCACCGTGCTGACTGCAAGGGCATAGTAGGTGTTGAGCACAGCCTTCTTCTTGTCATTTGGCTCTTTCACCAGAGCTGAGTTGAAACTTGGCCAGAATATCCACAAGAGGAGGGTTCCTAGAGGGCAGAGAAAGCTGTTAGCCAGGATCACACTCCTTTTCTGAAATCTGTCTTCCAGGACAGCAGAGGAACAGCCTGAAGCTAGCAAGTGAGCCTGTTCACCTTCACAAATGGAGTTCTGTCCCACCTGATCCCACAGCTGTTTAGTCCCAAATAAACACACAGAGGCTATATTAATTATAAACTGGCCAATGGCTCAGGCTTCTTATTTATTAACCCCCCCCCCTTTTTTTTTTTTTGACAGGGTTTCTCTTGGCTTTGGAGGCTGTCCTGGCACTAGTTCTTGTAGACCAGGCTGGTCTGGAACTCACAGAGATCCACCTGCTTCTGCCTCCCGAGTGCTGGGATTAAAGGTTATTAGCCCACCTATACCTCCTGCCTGGCTACTGACCAATCAGCATTTATTCACCAACCAGTAGGAGAAACATATATTCGCAGCATACAGAAGGACATCCCATCAGTTACCTCTCCCCTCTGAAGTCTCAGGTTGGTGGGAGACAGACACACATTTTCTGACAAGGAATGTAAGGCCCAGAGTGTTGAGATCTACAAATGCCAGACCTCACTCCACTCTTCAGCTTTCAAACCCTTCCTTTTAAAATGCAAGGCAGAGGCTAGAGAGATGGCTTAGTGGTTAAGAGCACTGGCTGCTCTTGCAGAGGATCTGGGTTTTCTTCCCAGCACCCATGGTGGCTCACAACCATCTGTAACCCCAGTTCTAGGGGATCCAAAAAGCATACACATAGTTCACATACATGCACGCAGGTGCAACAGTCATACATAAATCTAAAAAAAAGAAATTTTTTTTGAGACTCTGTGTAGTCCTGGCTGTCCTGGAACTCATTCTGTAGACCAGGTTGACTTCAAACTCACAGAGATCTTCCTGCCTCTGTCTCCTGAATGCTGGGGTTAAAGGCATGTGCCACCAATGCCTGGACTATTCTCTATATTTGTTAAAAGTATAATATTTAAAAAAAATTTCGTATGAGTGTTTTACCTGCATGCATGTGTGTGTGTGTGTACACTTGCAAGCCCGATGCCTGCAGAGACCAGAAGAGGGCATAGGATCATCAGAACCAGTGTTAAAGGAGGGTGTGAGCCACCATATGGGTGCCCGGTTCCCTGCAAGAACAGTCAGTGCTCTAACCACTGAACCACCTCTCCAGCTCCTCCCTTTGTTTCCTTATCTTAATTCTTGCTTTTACTCACAGTGTTTACTTGCCCGTAAGCTTCCTTTCTGTTAGGAACAAAAATATTGAATAAACTCATTTGAAGTCTACTGTAGGGGCTGGAGAGATGGCTCAGTGGTTAAGAGCACTGACTTCTTCCAGAGGACCTGGGTTCAATTCCTAACAACCATGTGGCAGCTCACAACTGTCTGTAACTCCAGTTTCAAGGGACCCAACACCCATGGCAAAACACCAACATAAATGAATGAATGAATGAATGAATGAATGAATAAATAAATAAATAAATAAATAAATAAATAAAGTTGTCTAAGGGAATGAGTTTCAACCTTCCTGCCTCTGCTTTCCAAGGGCTGTGGTCCAGGAGAGACCCCCAAGTCTCCACCGAATATTACTGAAGAGAGGTCCCTAAAAGGAAAGGCTTAATCCAAAACTACATAAACTCAAGGACATTCTATATGAACTCTATGATGTTTATATAAAATACATGTTTTATACTTGATATAGAATATATAATGTATATATAATGGTTCATATATGTAACATGACAAAGTTTCTATGTAGTAACTATGTGTTATAATATAAACTATATATAAAGCTACATAAACTCAACAACAGTTGAGCCCTAGAAACAAAGGGCTTTGTTGGGCAATGATTGTGCTCACCTCTAATCCCAGCACTCAGGAGGCAGAGGCAGGCAGATCTCTGTGAGTTCGAGGCCAGCCTGGTCTACAGAGCAAGTTCCTGGACAGCCTCCAAAGCCACAGAGAACTTGAAAAACAAAACCAAACCAAACAAACAAAAAAACCAAAGGGCCTTTATGGAAGGGACCAGTATACTCAGGGTCAGAAGCCAAGGAGAGATTTCTCAGCAGGACTTGTTCTCAACTCTGTTCAGACGGGAGACTACCCCACCCATTTGTCCTTACCCAGCATGGCAAACAGACTGGAGCTTGTGGCCATCTGAACCTTCTCTGTCTGGGCTTCCTCACCCGGTCCCCTGGGCAAAGACCTAGAGAGGCACCAGGCTACAAGCAGCCCAAAATAAGCCCCAAACACATGCCCATACATGGTGATGATATGGTCTTCCACCTGCAACTGAACACAGAGGCTTGGTGAGTTTCCCAGGCCTGTGTAAAGAGGCCAGCCTTGCTGCACTTCCTGCGGGAGGCATGACTTGAACTCTGACCTGGTGTTCAGAGCTTACCCAGGCCAGCCAGCTGCCCTCCCCTTGGTGAAGCCCACGCGCAGCTAGACCTGGAGTGGCAGAGTGATAATGGTTGACACCGCCTGTCTTATAACCCACTACTGCCAGGTTCGTGCTAATCATGCCTCATGCATAGTGAATTGAATAAGCCTAGGCCTCATTCTTAATGGATTTAGAGTCAAGGCTGTCTTCATGGTCTCCCAAAAACACCCAGAATTGATCGGCTCTTTACCCACTCCCCACTGATGCTCCCTTGGCCAAAGCCACCTTCACAGACACCCCAGATTCCGCACTAACCCCCAGCTGGACTTCCTGTTCCCAAGTGTTCCCACCCTTGCCCCTATTGATTGTTCTCCAAACAGCTGCAGACCCTGCTGCTGCCCAGCTCAGAATCCTCTGGTGGCTTCCGTCTCGCTCAGAGTGACTGTCCTTTCCATGGCCCTGTGTGGTCTGCTCTTTCTCCTGCCTCACCCCTCCTCCCTCCACAGCCTCGCTCACTCCACCCACTCAGCCCTCCCTCACTTCGGGTAATTCAACAGCTTGCAATGCTGTTTCCCTGGGCAGAGGGGAATGGGCAGAGAAGAAGTGGCCAGCGCTAGGTGGGGAGTAGGGAACACGTCAGTCTGCTTCCTGTTATCACCAAGGGACAAGACGTGTAAAAGGTGTGCTCAAGAGACACAGAGGCCCCTGCACAGGTGCAATCTACCACACACCCTGCTAGGGCTGGCCTCTGCTGCCAGACACCCTCCAGGGCTGGCATCACAATTTGCCTGGTGATATATTCCTACCTCTCTGGTATCTGACCCACCCTCTCATATCTCCGCACCACCCTCCTTTGTTTTGTTTCTCACTATAGAATTTGCCACCAGCTAACGTGACTCATCTTTTACACACTTCATGTTTTTTATTGGTAACTGTGTCTTCCGCAGCAGGGTTCCCTGAAGTTGCATTTCCCATGGTCACGAGAGCGCCTGGTACATAATAGGTACTTGGTGGATGGATGGATGATGCTAAAGCATCCTCACCCATGCATAAACCTACACTGCTTGTTCCTAAGGACCAGAAAAAGGACATGCCTGTACTGCAACAGGATGCTGTGAGTTCAGGGCCAACCTGGGCTACAGGACGAAGACCCTCCTGTCTCAGATACACCTAAAATTGCAATTCATATAGAGTTCATTCAGCTGAGTGCTTGCTTAGCCTGCACAAAGCCCCTGGGTTCAATCCCCAATATCATCTAAACTGGGGCACATGTCTTTAATCCCCACACTCAGGAGGCAGAGGCAGGTGGATCACTGTAAATTCAAGGCCGGGATGATCTACATAATGAGTTCCAGGACAGCAAGATCTACACAGTGAAATGCTGCCCCCAAAACTAAATAGGTAAATAAATAAATAAATAAATAAGACAACAAACAAGAACATTGGTGCTGGAGAGACTGTCCAGCAGCTAACAACATTTGTTCTTTCAGAGTGAGACACTATGAAAAACAAAAACAAAAAATTAAAACGAAAACAATAGGCGGCTGCTCTTCCTGAGGTCCTGAGTTCAATTCCCAGCAACCACATGGTGGCTCACAACCATCTACAATGAGATCTGGTGCCCTCTTCTGGCCTGCAAGCATACATGCAGGCAGAACACAAAAATAAATGAATGAATAAATAAATAAATAAATAAATAAATAAATAAAAAGTAAACAAAAAGAGAAGGTTACAGACATCACTCAAGAATAAATCAGGTGGCTGGGTGGTGGTGCATGACTTGTGGATCTCTGTGAGTTCAAGGCAGGATGGTCTACAAAATGAAATTGTGTCTCCAAAAAAAAAAGTATTATTCTTCTTAATTTATGCATATGTGTGTGTATCTGTGTTTGTGTATGAGCACCCTCAGAGGTCAGAAGAGGGTATCAGATCCCCTAGAACTGGAGTTTCAGGTAGTTGTGAGCTGACGTGTAGATGCTGGGAATTGAACCTGGGTCCTCTGGAAGAGCAGCCAGGGTTCTCAACCACTGAGCCATCTCTCCAGTCCCCCAACAGCCTACATTTTATGTGGGATCCAGGGATTAAACTCAGGTCATCAGGCTTGGGTTTTTTTCCAACAACTATGTTTATTCACTGAACTATCTCCCTAGCCCGGTGTTTTTCATTTGCTGTGTTTTTGAGACAAGGTCCTTGTAGCTCAGGTTAACCTCAAACTTATTATATAGCCACAGATGACCTTGAACTTCTGGTTCTTTTGTCTTTACCTTCCTGTTGTAGAATATTCCTTTACACTGTGTTATGTCATGTGTGATTGGTCTAATAAGGGAAAAACCAAACTAAGGACAGGGAAGAACGGTGGATTTGGATGACTCACAAGCCAGATGCAGAGGGAGCAGGAGATGAACCTGACATGGTAATAAAGGTACTGTCATATGGCAGAGGGTAGATAAGAAATATGGGTTGATTTCAAATGTAAAAGGTAGCCGGGCGTTGGTGGCACACCTTTAATCCCAGCACTCGGGAGGCAGAGGCAGGCGGATCTCTGTGAGTTCGAGACCAGCCTGGTCTACAAGAGCTAGTTCCAGGACAGGCTCCAAAGCCACAGAGAAACCCTGTCTCAAAAAAACAAAAAAATAAAATAAAATAAAATGTAAGAGCTAGTTAGTAGCAAGCCTGACCTATTAGCCGAGAATTTATAATTAATATTAAGCCTCTGAGTAGGTTATCTCAGTAGGGAAGCTGCTGCTAGGACTGAAAAATTTCTGTGTATACCTTCTCAGTTCTGGGATTAGAGATGTGTACCACATCTGGCCTTACCCTGTCTTGATGACTTCATTTTACTGTGAGGACTATGCTTTGTGAGTGGCAGCTGGCTGGACCCGAGGCTACCCTAACGCATGCTCTGTCCCTCCTCTCTTGAACTGAAACTGAGGGAGAAGAGTGTTGCTTGTACAGGACCAGGGACCTAGCAACAAAGGAAAGAGTGGGACAGACGGACCCCATTCTTCAGTAAAGTGAAAGCTACTGTTCTGGGAGGAATTTGCCCAAATGATGCTGGGACTCTGGGGCCTCAGAGGGTTCTCCTGTCCCTTTCCAGTCACTTTTGGAGTCTAGCTGGACTTTCTGGACTTGGGGATTCTGCTGAAGTCCCATAATTCTACCTAATAAACCATCAGTGACTCAGCTGGACCCAAGCTGCCTGGACACGACTCTGAAGGGCGCCCCTTCCTTCTATAGCTTTGGCTCCCTGTTGTGCTCTCGGCTCTGCAGACGTCCTGTCTGTCTTTGCTCTTGGCCCCTGGCTTCTCCCCTGGCAGTACCCCCAACACTCTCCTTCTGCACGTGTTCTAGAGAGGCCGCACATGGTCTAAGCACTGTGCAGACCCCGCAGGGCCGTGGAAGAAGAGCTGTCTTCTCACGGCTCCTCTGCAGCCTGCCCTTCTCGTTTGTGAGACATCACACCTCACCATCCTACCCACCCTCACCCTGAGGCTCACCTGACTTGTGTCCCCCTGAGGACATCCAAGCAAGTTTCCTCCCTCTAGATGCTGCCTTTGTGGGTGGGCCCCACCACAGAGCTGGCAGACCATCTGTCTCCCTGCCCCCGCCTTGACCCCCTACTTCCCCTCACCGTGAAAGTTCTAAACAAATCCTTCCCCTCTCTGCTTCCAGCTCATCTTCTGTGTTATCGGGTTTCCCGATTATTCTAGCTGATACGCCAGCATCAGCCACTTTTTGTTTTTACTTTGAATAGCATTTTTTTCATTCATTTTACATAGCATCACCCATCTTAAGTGAAGTTTCCCTTGCCCTCATTCTGTACCCCAATATCTGCTCCATTTCTCTGCTCCTCCTCACCCTACCCATCATACCCTCCTCTCTATAGACAAGGTTTTTGTATGAACTTTTTCTGAGGAGACATAAACAGTGAACAAATGTCTTCCACCTCAAAGAAACCACCAATATCCATCTTCTCTCTCTCTCTCCCCCTCTCTCTCTCCCTCCCTCCCTCCCTCCTCTCCCCTCCTGGCTAGTCTTTTGTCAACTTGACACAAACTAGAGTCATCTGACAGGAGGAAGCCTCAGTTGAGAAAATGCCCCCACCAGATTGGCCTGTGCATTTTCTTGATTAATGGCTGAGACAGCATCCTTCATTAGTGAGCAGGCTTCTCGCGTCATAAGCTTCCTATTAATTCTTCTAAATATATTACTTCTGATTACTTAGACTCAACTGTGCCACGAACATGGATGGTCAAAGTGCATACATATTTTGTGGGGATTTAAAATGTGCATTTCCAATGTTAGCTCCCTTAAAGGAGAGTCATTCAGAACTAATTGTTTATTATATATATATATATATATATATATATATATATATATATATATTTAAAGATTTATTTATTATGTAGACAGTGTTCTTTCTGCCTGTCTGTATGCCTGCAGGCCAGAAGAGGGCACCAGATCTCATTACAGATGGCTGTGAGCCACCATGTGGTTCCTGGGAATTGAACTCAGGACCTCTGGAAGAGCAGCCAGTTGCTCTTAACCTCTGAGCCATCTCTCCAGCCCCCTTGATATATAATTTTTATGTTACTGTATCTTTTTAATAATATGCTACTACCTAGACAAATGCATGCTAATTCAATGAATATAGAATTGTGGATTTGAGCAACAAATAACAATAATGTCACTCCAGTCTGTTTTGATGTAGGAAATCTCAATGCCCTGGGTAGTCAATAAAAGTTTAAAGGTATTCTCCCACATCTGACAGAGGACTGATCTCCAAAATATACAAAGAACTCAAGAAGGGAGTCTCCAAAACACCAAACAATCCACTTAAAAAGTGGGGTACAGGAAATCTGGCATTGGTGGCGCACACCTTTAATCCCAGCACTCGGGAGGCAGAGGCAGGCAGATCTCTGTGAGTTCGAGGCCAGCCTGGTCTCCAGAACCAGTGTCAGGATAGGCTCCAAAGCTACACAGAGAAACCCTGTCTTGAAAAACCAAAAAAAAAAAAAAAAAAAAAAAAAAAAAAAAAAAAAAA